AGATACTTAAATACATAAATATTACACATAAATTTATTAAATTGAGTTTTATTTTACGTGTTTGTTTACGATTAGTGTAAACTTGTTTTTTAAATTTAAAATATTAACATTTTAAATTTATTTTATTTTTTGAATATTTAAATTATTTAAATTTGTTTGTTAAAATAATTTTTTTGTAATATTTAAATTATTTTAAATTTTTACGATGTAAATTTTTTGAATATTTTTTAAATTTTTTCCAAGGTAAATTTTTTAGAATATTTACATTATTTAATATATTTAAAAAAAAAAAAAATATAAATAAAATTAAAATAAAATTTTTAATTTAAAGTTTTTGTTTTATATATTTAGTTACGATTTGAGTATCGGTTGTTTTTAAATTAAAAATATTAACATTTTAAATTATTTAAAGAACGTAAATTAAAGAACAAGAACTAATTAATGTATAAAAAAATATAAATGACAAAAACATAAATTTAAAAAAAATAAAAAAAAATTTAAGCAAAAAATAAATAAAAAAAATATTTTACCAAACTACGCCAAAATAAATCAAAATAAACAAATAAAAAATAAAAAAAATTAAGCAGAATACCCAAATCAAAACCCAAAAAAAAAAAAAAAAATTAGCAAAAAATGGCAAATCAAAATCGAAAATAAGAGAAAAATAAAAAACAAATAATAAAAAAAAAACAACATTGGGTGGATCCGTTGGGAAGCTGACGTGGATGCCGAAAATCTTTTGAATTACAGGTACATGTGGATCAAGGGCACTTTGGTAAATTAACAGGAGGCCACCTCACCAAAAAGTCAAAAAGCTAAAAAAGCTAAAAAGCCTTCCAACCAGGCTTTTTGAGTCCCAAGCTAAAATAGCCAAAAAAGTCAAAAAGCCAAACCCACTTCCCAAACGGGAGGCGTTATATAACCTATTCTGTCCGTTAGCACCTTGGAACATTATTTTTCAAATTGTTTTGAAAATAGTACCACCGGTGGAAAAAGTCAAACCTGTTGAAAACTTATTTATTTAAACTATTGAAATATCTATATCTATATATATATATATATTAAACTATATTGAATAGTTTAATAAATAAATGAAGAGGTACAATAATTTTAGGAAATCACTAAGGAACTTAAAATTTGAATTTAAAATTAATTAAATTCTCATAATTACAATTTTTAGGTAATCACAACAGGAACCCAAAATTTGAATTTAGAAATTAAATTAAATTCTCACAATAATTTTTATTTGAAAAAAATTCAAATGAATTTTATCTAAAAAATTAATGTTAGACCTGAAAACGACATCAACTTCACATTCACTCATAAATGGTTTTGACGTTCTGTCTTCACCGTGTGACTTGCCACGCGGCAATGAACACCTTCACCTCTTCGGACCCACCCCAAAAGACGTTTGGGGCCCACTCAAATTTGGACTCAAAATTATACCTATATTAAAACCATTTTCCCAACAGTTATATTGTTAAGTAATTGTTCGTTTTTGCTTATTTGTAATTTGTCTAAGTGGCTTGTTTGGAATTGGATTTTTTAATGCAGAATACAAATTTTAAAAAATTGTGAGTTTTGATTGAAGAACAAATTAAAAATTATAAACAGTAATAAAACCTTCATATAAAAATAAACCTTCTCAAGTTATAAATGGTGAACATTCTGTGATAAAAATGGTGAATTTTGCAGGAAAAAAAAATCAAAGATTTTGGGAGGGTTTCCTAATGAATGTATTCTATTTTTTCAACTGATTTGGAGCAAAAAAATTTATTATTTTTGATGATGTGGCATGTTTGGCCACTATTATTTTTCTTGTCAAATTTGACAACAAAAACGACATCTATTATATTGACAAGAAGAATAGTAGGCCATTAGAGACCATTTTCTTTGTCACTTTTGCCAAGTTATAGTTTTGGCAGCTCCATTGGAGACGCTCTCAGGAAATTTTTTTTAATATAACGTGATACCATTTACATGATATCACCGTCTAATAATAACTTGTTATTTTTTCTCTTACGTATATTGACAAGATGATTAATGGATTTATTCTTCCCGTATAAGTTTATTATTAAATGGTGATGTCATACTGTATCAATATTACATTGAAATTTTACTCACAAATTAGAGTCCAAAACTCCAGCAGCTTTCCAATAGAAATTATGAACCATAATAATTGGGGTTCCAGATTCAAATGAAAAGATTACAAATAAGCACATAATTCTGAATAAAAATTTTGTACAAAAATATTTATTATAATAGCTTTATCGTACGGTTACAATTGAGTCAGTTTTCACAACTTTACACATAACGACTATGCTGCAAACAGAGAAAGAGGTACAAATTAAACAAATTTGATCTCTTGAATAAAAAATGAGATGAAAGCTTTTCTTTCATTTCTACTCAGATTCTTCTTCATTCTACAAGTTTGAAAAAAATTGAATGGGAAAGCCCAAGAAAAAAAAAAAAATTGAAATTATCTTTCTACAAGTTGGTGATCCTATGCAAAACCCCTAACACGAAATGAACTTCCCATCATCCCCATCAAAACATTATATTGTTTTAACCATCCGATGACCAGAGCTCAACCAATACAATCTTCACTTATACTGCAAATGCCATGAAAATTGTGTGACATTACATCGTTCGCCTCAAATCAGAGAATTTGCAGCCACATCAAAAGAAAGTGCAGTTAAAGATGATGAACTGAATGGGATTGGCGATAAGAGTATATATACCATGAATTGCTATTGTTCATCGTTTGAGATCCTATGTTGTTGAATCACCAAAACAGAACCGCTCAGGTCGAAATCTGTAGATGCCAAGAGATCTCCAACTGTGCCCAGCTCAGGACACTCTTCCCAGTCACTCATCGCCGAGGTTAAGGGGGAATGCCCTCTCCCACCTTTTCCGACTATGAATAGTGAGTACATGTCCGCCATGTCCCTTAGCGCCGCTGCTGTTTCTGCCCCGGTTTCCACATACTTCTCTACGTATCCCACCTGACCCGATGTCACGTACCTAATAATTAACAACCATAGTGTCACAATTGATGACAATAAGAACATCTTTTGTTAACCACATAGCACATTGGTTTATGAAGATCTTCAAATTAGACTGCTAGGCTAATATGAAAAGTTAAACTGTGTTTGAATTTCAGATTTGTGAAAGAAAAAAAGGGATTCTCTAGCATTTAGTCAATACATATGTTGTTAGTTTTTTTATAATAAAACATAAAAAATAGGATAAAATTTAGTCTCTACTTCATTTCTTTTTTGCATCCTTTTTTTTTTCTCATCACAAATTTAAGATTAAGATACAATATTGTGTGTATGTAATAATTTTAATGTCATGACGAATCTTAAAATATGAATGCAAGTGGAAAGGCCGATAATGCTATGAAAAAACACACTAAAAACCATGGAGGAACATTTAGCTCATAATGCTACATATTTTTATCAAAAAATTGAATATGAATGACATTCACTCATGATATCCATGGTAGCAATGGTTGTTAGTATGCAGCACCGTAAGTTCAACCTGGTTTGAAAATGTAATCACACAACATGGTTTGAAAATGTAATCACACAACATTATTAGATCTTAAAAATAAAGCAAAATAAATAAATATAAAAACAATATGCATCTGGACTAAAGGGTCTAGTCAAATACAAAGGTCTATTGAGATTAAGTTCGATAATTAGATCTATTCATCTTTTAATCTTGTGTTTTACAAAAGTCATACTAATCTAATAATTATAGTTATATAATTTCATCATATTTGTAAAAATAAATAAATTGACAATTTATTATGATTATTTTTTAAAAAAAATTGATGATATCATCTGTCAACCTATTTTTTGAAATCAAAAACAAAAAATATGAAGGGTAAATTACACTAACATCCCCTGAGGTTCATATTTATTACAGTTCTCCCCATCACATTTTGAAAATTACATCTCCCTCCCTGATATTTAAAGTTTCATTACAGATTCTCCCCTCAGCAATTTAATTTTTTTAAATACCAATTTGCCCTCACTGGGTAAATTACATTGACACCCCTCACATTTTAAAAATTACAATCCCCTCCCTAAGGTTTAAAGTAACATTACCAATTGCCTCCTTGGTTAGTATTAGTTGGAAAAAAAATTAATTAAAAAAAAATTTTGTTACTAAAATTTTAAAATTTCTGTTTAAAAACAAACGTAAACTCATTTTTTGAATTTATGTTTTTTCCTCAAATTTACAAACTGAGACAACTATTTATAAATCAAAAAAATTATCAAACAAGTTTTTATGATAGTTTTTTAAATTTTTGTAAATATAAATTGAAAAATGAAAACGAAATGATTACCAAACAGACTTTAGATGGTAAAAATGTCGTAAAATTACAAATAATTAAATAAGTTATCAACGTAAGAAATGACTTATCAAAAGATTTTTAGGCTATGCATGGTTTGATTTTTAGAAATTTTTTTTTAAATTAAAAATTAATTTGGTTAAAAAATAAAAAATAAAAAATAATTATCATTTTAACTTTTGGGCAAGTTATATACATATGTATGGCTGTTTCAATTTAATTTGTAAAAAAATATTTCTAACTACTCGAAAAATAAAAATTATATAAAAATGATAATTATTTTTTATTTTTTATTTCTTAACGAAATTAATCTTTATTTTTAAAAAAAAAAAATCTAAAAATCAAACCATACATAATCTAAGAATCTTTTGATAAGTCATTTCTTACGTTGGTAACTTATTTAATTATTTGTTAATTTTACGACATTTTTATCATCTGAAACCTGTTTGGTAACCATTTCGTTTTCAGTTTTCAATTTATATTTACAAAAATTTTAAAAACTGTTAAAAAAACTTTTTTGATAATTTTTTTTGTTTATAAATGGTTGTCTCAGTTTGTATATTTAAGAAAAAAACGCAAATTCAAAAAATAAGTTTATGTTGGTTTTTAATCAGAAATTTAAAAATTTTACTAACAAATTTTTTTTTCAATTAATTTTTTTTCCAACTAATACTAACCGAGGAAGCAATTGATAATGCTACTTTAAACCTTAGGGAGGGGATTGCAATTTTTAAAATGTGCGGGGCGTCAATGTAATTTATCCAATGAAGGCAAAATTGGTATTTAAAAAAATTAAATTGCTAAGACCATCTCCAACGGTGAACCAAACTTTGCATTAGATTTGAAATTTGGTGAAAAAGTCACTTTTTGAAACTCCAATGGTTTCACCAAATTGGTATCAAAATGAGAATGGAACAAAAAATTCATCAAAGTGAGAACAGGCTCCAGATTTCACCATTTCACTATGCGTTACCGTTGAGGTGGGCCAACCAGTCAACCAACCGGTTGTCCAGCCGGTTGACCAACCGATCGACCGGTTCCCTTTCAAATAGGTAGGTTCAAACCGGTCAAAAAAGTTCAAACAGGTATAAAAAAAAAAAAAAATTTGCCTTACCGGTCGACTGGCCAGTCAACCAACCGGTCGACCACTTCCCTTTTGATGCACGGTTAGAGCAAATGGTATCAGATTGAGAAAATTGACTTTTTTTTATTCAAATTTGGTGAAAATTTTGGTTTACCGTTGGAAATACTCTAAGGAGAAATCTGTAATGAAACTTTAAATCTCAAGAGAGAGATTTAATTTTCAAAACGTGAGAAAAAACTGTAATAAACATAAATTTCATGGGTGCCAGTGTAATTTACCCAAATATGAATAAGTGTTTGTTTTTTATTCATAATTTGTGTTTGTTACTCCAGCGGTGAAATTGCTTGTGAAATGCATAAAACTCAATCCCCGAAAACATACCTGTTATAGAACTCAGTCAAGACAGCAGTGTCGGCTTCATTCTCCGTCTCATGATCCGATATCGCCATCAAAACCTCCTCCTCCCTATGCGCGACATTGACCCCAACATTCCTATCCTTGGCCGACCCTGGCAAAAACCTTATTATCGTCAGGTTTATATGATGATCCATCACCAGCCTCCTACTAAATCCCAGTGCTTCCCGATCATCCGGTCCCCCGAAAAACAACGTCGACACGTGCTGCAAACTCTCCGATCCCGAAGCCACAGTCTTCCCCGTCAGCCCTCTGTCCACCAGAATCGCCACAGAGCACTTTGCGTGCCGAAGCACCTTCTGGTTCGTCGTCCTAATTCCTTCCTTTCCTGTCTCCATTTTTCCGTCTATTCGTCGGTGTTTGTGGAAGTGGAGGAGGATGATCGAGGCTCGCACGTCCTCCGCTCGATCGCACACGTCCGAGCACATGCTTAGAAACGGGGACACCGCTTTCACCTGTTGCAAATTTGAGTGTGAGAAAAAACACACAATTGTATTTCATTAGAGTAAAAATTCAGTTGAGGGTGATGCCACGGATAGAAAATTATTAGGTATTTTTTGAGTATCACATATTTATATTCTTTCATTAATTATTATTTATCATATATTTTTATATTTTTTAATCACTTAATATAAAATCATAATTTTTTTTTTTATCAATCATAATATTATAAAATATTATGTCATCGTACTCTAAAATTATCCAATAATCACTCAAATAATATGAGGGTCAACTCTTTTGTCAAAGTACAATTTGCCACATATACATAGAAAACAAAAATGACATATGGTCTCTTTGAGAATAGATTATTTTAATTAGTTGTTTAGTATTTTGATCATTTTAACTTCATTAAAAAAATTATATTTGGAATGATTGTTGACTTTTTTGTAGTTAATTTAATAATTGTGAGAGAAAAAATAAAATGATTACAAATTGAATATTTTAACTTATTTTGTTTTTTATGGGCGATTTTAGTCAAATAGCCTCTAGTCAAATAAGACCATACTGTAGGAAATCATTTTTTATCTCTGTTATTTCAATTGGTTCAATTTTAATAATGAATTTCTAATTCTATCTCAATTTAATTCAATTAATCATAATTTTGACTATTTTTATGGAAAATATACACAAAGCAACATATGTCATCGTTTTATAGATAAATTTATAAAGTTGTTCTAACTTAATGGGTTAGCTTAACCAAACTATTTTCCCTAAAAAAATCTTAATCAATGTTACCAATTAAATTAAATTAAATTAACATAAAATTAGAAATCAAAATCGAACTAGCTAAAATGATCAATGTAATTTGCTTAAGAAAAAATTTCTAACATCACCTGGTGAACCATCACTCCGGTCTCGGAAGTGAAGGCGTCAACGGCCTCATTGATCTCGGTGACATCGTTTCCACCGTAGCTCTCTTCGTCGCTGAGCTCGTCGTCTTCACGCTGGTGGTACATGAGATCACTCTTGGTCTTTTCGGGGAGCTCGACTAGGTGCATTAAGTAGGGGGTGATTGGGCCATGTTCGTTGCCTTTGAGGGCGGCAATGAGGCCAACCATGGTGGAGACGTGGCGGGGGTTGTGTACGCAGGCGAGTAATCGGAGCTCAATGTCTGGATCTTGCCATTCTAGGGCTACATGCCTGTAACCGAGAGAGTCACCTTCTCTTCTCACCATGAATGCTATCATTGGCCCCACTATCAGTGTGTTGAGTATTATTGTTACCAGCATTAAGCTGTAGAAAAGTTGACCTGTAACTACCTGCATTATAAATGATGAGTGGAAATTACACTTTAGTAAGTTACCTATCATTTACTCAATATCTTTTTATTCTCCTCCAAAAATAAAAGAAAAAAATTATACTTTTTGACCTTGTATATGTCAAACTTTTGGAGATACAAGAAATTTGTTATTTATTGAGTTATTAGTTTATTTCTATTATATTACATCTCTAATTTTTTGTAATTTTTTTTCATAATAAATAATAAAATCAATTTATAAGTTATATCCAAAATAACTCTTGTATACATATAATTGATTGATATATGTATCTATCAAACAATCTTAGAAGACCAAAAATGGTTTAAATTTGAAGTGTGTCAACCCGTTTAATTTTAAATTAAATTTAAATCTATATTATATGACTAATTTTCAACTTATTTTTTGATATACTTTTTCTGGCATATATCAAAAGAACACATTAATGCATTTACTTCCAATGACCACAAAAAAAAAAAAAAAAGGGACGAAAATTTATTGTTAAAATAACAATATATAAAAAAAAATTTCATAAAGACTTTTCGTAGAAAATAATGTAACTAGCATGTCAACCCGTTTAATTTTAAATTAAATTTAAATCTATATTATATGACTAATTTTCAACTTATTTTTTGATATACTTTTTCTGGCATATATCAAAAGAACACATTAATGCATTTACTTCCAATGACCACAAAAAAAAAAAGGGACGAAAATTTATTGTTAAAATAACAATATATAAACAAAATTTTCATGAAGACTTTTCATAGAAAATAATGTAACTAGCACTATATTAACACCAATTAAATTTAGAAACACGTAAATCAAATAAAGAACTACAGACAGTTTTAAAATCCATACGAGATTGTTTTGGTATTTGACGCTACAAACCATTTTTTATAATCTATTTATTTATTTTTGTTCAATTCTGTTTTTAGTTTTTGTAATTTACTGTAATATGATAAAGAAAAACTTACTTTGCTTTGAAGTCCAATAGACAAGGTGACAAGATCAACATGCCCTTTCACATTCATAACAAAAGCGAACAGAACACCCTCATTCAGCGGAATCTTCAAATAAGAACAAGCAACAAGCGTGCCAGTGATCTTCCCTCCGAGGCTCAATAAAATGACGATGACGACAATGCTGAGGTTGGTCAGACTATTTATCACACTAATATTCGCCTGGAACCCCATGTACCCCAAATAAATTGGGAACACGAAATTATGCACAGAATAATTCAGTTTCGCCAACAACGTCCTCGCGGTTTTCCCACCCTTGGGAAACATTGTACCGATCAAGAAACAAGCAATTATACTGTTAAACCCAAGCATTTCAATCGCCATAGCGGTCACAACAATGACTGACAAAATCCCGAAGGCTTCTGCGTTTTTTAAGTGTTTTTGGTTTCGGTTCCTTCGGTTTAGCCAGTTGGCGAGGTACATGTTGAGGACGATGACCGCAACAAGCATTGTGAAGGCGAGGCAACCGTAGAGAACCCATGTCATGAATCCCCACCCGTGTTTGTTTCTGTTGCTGAAAACTAATAAAACTACGGCGTACATGTCGCTGATTAAAGAAGAGGAGATGGCTAAGCGCCCGAAATCTGTGGTGGCGAATTTCCATTCGGTTGCTAGGCAGTTTACGATAGGAGAGGCGGAATTGGACAAAATTACTGCGATCATTAATGCCATGATGGGCATGGAGCCGTGGGCTCCGGTTTCGTGGTAAATGAAGGGGGTGATGACGGCTGCAAAGATGGTGCACATTATGCAGCCCCCACCGGCTATGACGGTTGCTGGACGGAGGTTGCGGACTAGGTAAGGAACGTCGGTTTCGAGGCCCATGAGGAACATGATGATTATCCGGGAAAACAATGCCATGGTTTCGTAGTAGTCTCCGGCGACATCCTGGAAGAATACTTTTTTTATGTAGGGTATGCGTGACAACCCTGTGGGACCTAGCACGAAGCCAGACTGTGACAATGAACACATCAAAAATAAATGTAACATATGAGTAAAAAGTGTTGATTAAAAAAAAAACTCAATTCATATATTTTGATTTTCAATGTTTAATTGTCAATTTAGTTCTCAAAATAGAGAATGTGTCTACAAATTGTATCTTTATCTGGTGCTGATTTTTCAAACTTCCCATATGTCACTTCTAGTTTTCAAAATACAAAACATAGCTGGTTTACAGACTCTACAAAAATAAAGAAAAAAATAAAAAATTTACCCAGAATTTTGAATCAATGCCTTGGATTCATTTATGAAATAACCTCACAACAAAAATATGTACATCTGCAATATGGTACAAATTATGATTGCTTATTATGGTTTCATAGACTTTTCCAATACAAAATGTGGCTTTATGTGGTCCCTAAGCGTAACAAGGTCCAAAATTAATGATAATTTAAAGATATTTTTGGCATTTGATTTTTATTTTTTTTCAGATGGGAAAACCACAGAAATTAAACAGAAGAAAGAAGCCTCAAAAGACACCAAGCCGAACCAGAGGAAGAACCTCATCTAGACCCTATGAACGTCCATCTCCACTGCCATGGGAGCGAGTGAGCAACAAACTTTCCTTGCCGACAAACATGTCAAGTTTGGGGACAAAGTAAAGATACATTTTCCTTTGTATTTTGGGATCAAATAGACACAATTGGAAGGTTGGGAATCAATATAGCTTTTGTATATTCTGACCAGCAAAAGTGTATTTATCCCAAGATTTTAATTGCTTGTAAAATGTATAATAAAAAAAATAACAATCAAGCAACACAAAAGTAAAACTTCTAAAAAAAATGAAGAACAAGGACAAAAAAATAGAAGGCATAACATTTTCTAACCAACTATTAACAAGCAATGGAAGAGCCAATTACCACACTTCGTTATATGCAAAAGCAAAAACAAAAAGAAAGAAAGAAAGAAAATTCACAGAATAAACACAATTTGTATAGGCATTTTAATTTAATAAATGTGTAAAGTGTTTAGAAGACGTACTTACGAGAATATGAGCAATGGGCCCAGGTTGCCCAAATGGCTTCAACAAAAGTTGAAAAAAATGCGAGAGAACCAAAATCAGGGAAACTTGCATCCCCATTGTTAGGACCGGGTTGAACAACTCCCGATTGCATGCCACCCGCCGTGTAGCGTCCATTTTTGCAAGGCTTGAGCTTTGTTTTCCAAATAAAATAACTACTACTAATCAATAAGAAATAAACTAAAATCTTATTGTATTTTTGATTATGTGTCCTATATCTATATAGATGTAGTCAAGAAAATATTATGTTGGAGAGGATGGTGGGAGAGAAGTGGGAATGGTAGCGTAGCCCTTCCTCTCCTCTCTTCCTAGACCTTCCTGCGAAACTTTCTTTTTTCTCTCTCTATTTTTCTCTATTGCTGTCATGGGGGAAAGGGGGACGCAAAAGCAAAGGGGAGAGAGAAATGATGGTGGTGGTAGAAAGTTTTGCTTTGCTATCACATCCCTTTTTTAAGGATGGAGGGCCGTGCTTAACGGATTATACCTTAGTAAATATACAAGTTTTTTTTTATTAAATATATAACCTAAGAAAGGTTTCTCTTTAGTCCATTAAAGAGTAATTATTTTATACCTTTAAAGATATTGTCACGTGATGCCTTACTATCTTATGATTGATCATCATTTTTATAAAAAAATTGAACGATTTAGATAATTAAAGTGAGGCCACAGTTTCTCAAAATTGGAGCAAAGCTTTATCCAATCAAGCAATATATTTTATCCCTTTTTACTCCTATGTGAATTTACTTTACAAACATCAAAAACAGGACATATTTTAAAATAACTACTACTAATCAATAAGAAATAAACTAAAATCTTATTGTATTTTTGATTATGTGTCCTATATCTATATAGATGTAGTCAAGAAAATATTATGTTGGAGAGGATGGTGGGAGAGAAGTGGGAATGGTAGCGTAGCCCTTCCTCTCCTCTCTTCCTAGACCTTCCTGCGAAACTTTCTTTTTTCTCTCTCTATTTTTCTCTATTGCTGTCATGGGGGAAAGGGGGACGCAAAAGCAAAGGGGAGAGAGAAATGATGGTGGTGGTAGAAAGTTTTGCTTTGCTATCACATCCCTTTTTTAAGGATGGAGGGCCGTGCTTAACGGATTATACCTTAGTAAATATACAAGTTTTTTTTTATTAAATATATAACCTAAGAAAGGTTTCTCTTTAGTCCATTAAAGAGTAATTATTTTATATCTTTAAAGATATTGTGACGTGATGCCTCACTATCTTATGATTGATCATCATTTTTATAAAGAAATTGAACGATTTAGATAATTAAAGTGAGGCCACAGTTTCTCAAAATTGGAGGAAAGCTTTATCCAATCAAGCAATATATTTTACCCCTTTTTACTCCTATGCGAATTTACTTTACAAACATCAAAACAGGACATATTTAAAAATTAACAAAAAAAAAAATAAGAAAAAGAAAAATATCATATTGGTGGCACAATTTTACAAATTAATTGAGGAAATAGATGAAAATTTAATTTCTCTCCAAGATTAAAACTATTAGATTCAATCAAATTGTTTGGAAAAAATGTTAAAAAAATAGTTTTCTCCAAGATCGAAGTTAGTGATTTTATTTATTTATTTATTTATTTTATCAAGTATGACTTTGTTAAAATATTATTTGTAAATACTGTATAACAAATTTATTTGTAATTTTAGAAATATTTTTTTAATTTATATATAATTTTTTCTTATAATTTTAATATCTATATTTTATTTTATATAATTTTTAACATATACTGATTATGATTTCACAGTTTAAATTGAATTGACCTAATGGTTGAATGAGTAACTTTGACTTGATTTCTTTTTGAGTTTGTTTAATGGTTTGAATTTTAGATTATTGCTTGAAAAAGAGACTCCACCAATCCAGGTAGACACATCCATGACTTTGTACCACAATAGTACACTCTCTAGAAAAAATACAGCAATAACTACTTAGTAACTACCCATTTCTTCCATCTTCATTCTTGTCTTGCCATGTGTCCTTCCACTCATCCACTTTGTCCTCCCACTCATCCACTTTGTCCTTCATATTCTCCATTATCTTTATAACTTCTTTTAACTTCCAAATGAATAAGAGGATGTCACGTGTCCTGCAATTATATAAATAATAAATAATAATAAAAATTGCAGATTTATGGTGTTAACAGTCTGGAACATTTTTCAAGTTATAAATTCGACTTCACGTAGGGCATTGAGGTGACCCTTTTTTTTTTTTTCCCCCTTCTTCAATCTAAGTTATAGTAGGCCCAAATGGCCCTTAATAGGAAGGGAATAACCTCATAATCCTCCCACAATGGTTGAACTCACAACCTCCACTATAAGGTTAGAAAATATATCATGGCACATAATTTTCACTTAGAAATGCCAAATTTTTTAAAATCTGTGTATAAGTACCCATGAATGTGGTATGTGGACTTTGGTAGGAATGGCAATGGGGTGGGGCGGGACCGAGGATTGCTCTCTCCGTCCCCGATCCCCGACAGTATGAAATTCTCCGTCCCTGGCCCCGATCCCCGGCGAGGAACCCATCGCCTCCCACCCCCGCCCTCGACGGGGATCGGGTTTCCCCGACCCCGAAAAACCCCCGACGGTGAGACATACACACACAAACACACACGCACATAGGCATCTGCAAACACACACACACACACACACACATCTGCAGATTTGAGTAGTCATCATCATCACACACACGCGCACACATCTGCGGATCTGAGTCGTCGTCGTCATCATCACACACACACACACAAACAGATTTAAACAAAACAGATCTAGAAAATGAGATCGTCGATGGAGAGACTTGAGATCGACGATGGAAAAAATAAGATCCGAGGTTTTTGTCCTAAGTCGATGCCGTCATCTGTAGATTCGAGGCTGGACCAGCGGTGGTGGTGGTGTCGATGACTAGTATGCGATCAGCAGCAGAAGGGGAGAGATGAGAGAGCAAACGAGGTGTGAAAGAGAGAGAGAGAGAGAGAGAGAGAGAGAAGAGTCGGTGACTGTGTCGTCGTATCGATAAGAGTGAGAGAGAGAAGAACGAGAGAGTAAGACAGTTGAGAGAGAGAATGAGAGTTGAGACAGTGAGTCAGTGAGAGAGTTGCAAGAGTCAAAGAATTAGCGAGATATATATATATATATATAATACAACTAAACACACAGGTGGGGATTTTTCAGGGAATTTCGGGGCGGGACCGGGACCGGAGGACCTATCACCGTCCCTGGCCCGAAAATTATTGGGGATGTATTTTTTAATACCTGCCCCGGCCCTATGGGGAATAATTTTCGAGAAAAATCCTATTTATCGGGACGAGGCAGTCTGGGTCCCCGTCGGGCCGGGTTTTTATTGTCATCCCTAGACTATCGGCTCAGTTATGCTTGGCTAGTTTGGGATGCCAACGATTAAGTTAAAATAGTTAATAAAAATTAAAATAATTAATAAAATGAAATGTCATATTTAAATTATAAATATTTCATTTTTTTTTCTCACGACTATAAAATCAACTATAAAAAAAAATATCAACTATCATCTCAAATATAATTTTTTTAATTAGGTTAAAATAATCAAAAAAATAAACTAAAATAACCAAGTTTTCAAACAGAGTGTAGTTTTCATGGGCACTACACTAAAATAAAACCCTAACCCCTTTTAGTGCATATTTAGTGGCATTACACTAGTGTCATGTTTTGGGGTGTGACACAAACCAAATTTAATGAGGCAAAATCCGCAGAGTAGATTGAGACAGAGATAGATGCAGAAGTCCAACAATTCTGAAATTGGTGAAGCAAATTTGATTTTTGCAGGACAAAGAGGCGTGACCCAAATAATAAAGTAAGGGTTTATCATTTTTTATCTTTCATGTCATCCTTATCTACCATCTACACCACAAATTTGTTGTGCTTTCATTTTCTACTATCAGAGTTCATTAGTTGTTCTTTCTCTCTTTCTCACTCTCATCAAACACACACAATACCTCTATATTTGTCACTTATTTATGATCTTCTTGTTTTAGGTATAAAACTTGATACAATCTGGAAAATCTAATCTTTTAGCTCATGAATTTATTAATTTTTATCTTTTAACATAAAAGGTTAGTTGTGATTTACTATTATTGTATTTATGTTGTGATTTTATATAATGTCTTGCAAGTGTCTGTTTAAATGCTTCAGTGAAATTTTACATTATTTTGCTCTGTTTTTATTTATTTATTTATTTTTACCCTTTTTCTGTTTGTAAGGATAAATAAGATGACAAAATAATATTAATCTCTTTTCACACCATCTTTTTTTTTTCTTTTTTTTTTTTTTTATATAATTCGTTGTAGTGTGGTGAATCAATTAAGTGATTAAATGATGTGGCTTGCTTATCTACTAGAGAAATGCATATCACTTTCAGTTGTGATCATTTTCACTCTGGCACTTTGTACGAATTTATTTTTTAAATATTATTTATTAATTGTAAATATATAATTACTTAAGTAGTTAAATCTTGATTTACAGGTGAGAGATATAGTTATTCTAAGAAGTATCATTAGACTAACAGAAACAGTTGCAATCAGAGTACTTAAAAGTACAAACTCATCTAAAGAAGTAGAAATGGAAGAACTAGAACATGACTATTAGGAGGTATGTGCTTAAGTGCCAGTCAAACCTATTGAGAGTTTGATCCGATCATATGGACTTGTCAAAACAATTAGACAAATTATTGGAGCTCATATTGCTTTGTCTACTCTATTTGTGGTATATTTCTTTCGTAAATACTAATTTCATTAACAAATTTATGTTAACTTAATATAATTTTAATTACCTTTATATGTTTATCTTTTGGATGCAGATTTCTCAAGTTATGGGTGCTAACCGAGAATATTTATACAAGTGAGGTTGAGAATTTGGGAACTTTATACAAGTGAGGTTGAGAGTTTGGAAACTGATTTTGTTTTGATAATTTGTCTCTCCGAAAGATGGATATCACCATGGCTTTTCAAAACTTAAGGTTGGAATAATTTTCTTTTAAATTTTTTTTTTGCTTTAACTTTGTTAATGTGGTAGAATATTTTATAATTTTGGCAAGGGATTTTTATTGCAATATAAATAAATTTATATTTCAATAATAAATAATTGGTTGTGTTTTGTTTTTTTTTTTTTTTTTGATGTGATGATCCTATGGTGGTAATATTTGTTTATTATTATGAAAATATTACAGAATGAATAGATGTCAAATTAATATAGGATGTGTCAATTAATATTCAATTTTTACAGGCATTTCCGCATGTTTAGTTGTGACTTTTAAAAGTGTCAATGAAAAGAACATATAAGTGGCATTTCGAAGTAGTGGTAGTAGTTTTGCAAAGTGTCACTAGAATAAACTCCAATGGCACTTAT